TATACATATGTATAGCTATACATATGTATAGCTTTTCTGGTATAATACATGTAAGTAGGTGTTCTCCCGACCATTAATACATGCTAATTATAAGAACCAGACCATGTGTTGACCTCGTGCGGTCAAGGCATGAATGCCTGGGGACGTCAGGACGCCTGCTCTGCCTGGGGACGTCAGGACGCGTGCTCTGCCTGGGGACGTCAGGACGCGTGCTCTGCCTGGGGACGTCAGGACGCCTGCTCTGCCTGGGGACGTCAGGACGCGTGCTCTGCCTGGGGACGTCAGGACGCGTGCTCTGCCTGGGGACGTCAGGACGCGTGCTCTGCCTGGGGATGTCAGGACGCGTGCTCTGCCTGGGGACGTCAGGACGCGTGCTCTGCCTGGGGACGTCAGGACGCGTGCTCTGCCTGGGGACGTCAGGACGCGTGCTCTGCCTGGGGACGTCAGGACGCGTGCTCTGCCTGGGGACGTCAGGACGCGTGCTCTGCCTGGGGACGTCAGGACGCGTGCTCTGCCTGGGGACGTCAGGACGCGTGCTCTGCCTGGGGACGTCAGGACGCCTGCTCTGCCTGGGGACGTCAGGACGCCTGCTCTGCCTGGGGACGTCAGGACGCTCGTCTCCCCAAGGGACTCCTGGGGCTGACCAAACAGTGTGTTTATCAGCCGCGAGGCCCTGCAGCTCACCCCCCCCCAAGGAGCAGCCTGGGTACCTCCGGCACCACAGCCGTCGTGGCCCTCGCATCACACAACAAGGGCTGTATCCCTGGTACCTTCCCCGGAGACAATGTACACAGAGGTAAGAGACTATTGGTCCACCTCCCGCGCTCAACCTAACATGATCCAGGGAGTGTGTAGGGTAGTGAACCACGGGAGAGTGGAGGAGACGCGAGTGGAAGAGAGGAGACTGGAGGGTGGCGATGACAAAGGCCGAAGACTATGAGGATGTGACAGGTATGGAGGGGGAAGGGGATGAGATGGCGGGGGAACAGTGTAGAGGAATAGTTTAGGGATGGAGGAAGAGAAGCGGATACTCTCACTCAACTTTAACGTGTACTGTACACCCTTCAACACCGCTCAGGAGCGATACATTATACACATACTTCTCCCTCTCGTAACTAGCCTTCACAACTTTATAACGTGTCAGCTCTTGTATCTTCACCCGTGGTTGACCACACCACCAACCAGCAGGCCTAGTCAGAGACCGGGCCCTGGGCACATGAATTCCCGGAACCAACAAAAGGTAGGCCTGGACACGTTCTGTATTCCTCTCTGGCAGGTGGCTTGCTACTTCTCCAACTTGTAAGGATGCTGCTGTTGTTTACTCTATTACGCTAGCCTAGCAATGTGTCCACTGGGGCAGCCGACGTGCGGATGGGCAGTTCTGTCCTGTTCTTGTAGGTGGTAAGATGTTCCTAAGTGCAAGCTGCCTGTTGAGATGGATTACAGTCTTTGATATGTAGCGATTCGGCCATATTTAATCCCATGTCGTGCATAGTTATTTTTGTGTCGCTGGTCAGGATCTATCTGGTGAAGGTTTGTTGGTGTAGAAATGTTATTATCTTTTAATACAGCCTCGCTGTTTGAGCATTGTTTGGTGCCTTAAGATATGTTGTTGTCTTGCCAATATATTGAGATAGTTTGTGCTGTATTTCCCAAGGCGAGAATGCAACGGCATAGACGACATTTGTCTCTTTCCAGACATTTCGTTTGGCACAGAGAATTCTTCATGAGTAAGTTGATGGTCGTCTCAATCTTATATTTAGCTATATCTTCTATTTCTTGTTGGTGGGGAACATGTTTCTGTCGGTTATGTCTCTCTAAACTCCTCTGTTTCCTCTCTGAAGGAAGAGTCGGGTGTTGGACCAGCTAGGGAGGGAGAGAAACCTCCAAGGGGAGCTAACCTTTAGGATAGGTTTACAAATTCGACTACACAAGAGAAAGTTAAACTAGAGGTGAGTGGTGTGTGGACCTAGAGGACTGCAGGGAGTATAACTAGAGGATGAAGCACTACTCTCACACACACACACACATACACAGCCTCGCTCCTGTGCCAGGTAAGTCCACTACGGGCTCACCATAGCCCGTGCTACTTGCAACTGTTGTTCTGAGTAGCTGAATCTACAACAACAACTCCTCTCACATCCTTGGATCACAATAGAGGCTTCACAACCTCCACACAACCGTCCTCCGGCCCGGCGGGGTACCGCCTCTTCCACTACTCCATCAGGTTTAAAGATGGAGTTTTGGGGGAGGAGGTGGAAGTGGAGCCTCGCCCCCCCCCCTCCTCCACTCTCCCTTTCTCTCTCTCCTCCCTAATTCTGGCATCCTCCCACCTCCACCACTCACAGTAATCCCCCTACCTCCCCCTCCACTCTTATCACTGCCTCTCCGTCCGCCTCTACTTGGGGAGAGGTAGGCGCCCCCCGCCCCCCGCAGGCGTCACCGTCTGGGGTCTGTCCACCTGCCACACCGCCGCCCCACTCACCTTTCCAATTAAGGTGACAGACAGACACACGCTTCGTCTACCGTCCAAAGTTACATTTTAACAAGTTCTGGAAGACCAACAACACTGCTGGTCCTCCACACTACACCTGACGACCAACCCTACACTGCTGGTCCTCCACACTACACCTGACGACCATCCCTACACTGCTGGTCCTCCACACTACACCTGACGACCATCCCTACACTGCTGGTCCTCCACACTACACCTGACGACCATCCCTACACTGCTGGTCCTCCACACTACACCTGACGACCATCCCTACACTGGTGGTCCTCCACACTACACCTGACGACCATCCCTACACTGCTGGTCCTCCACACTACACCTGACGACCATCCCTACACTGCTGGTCCTCCACACTACACCTGACGACCATCCCTACACTGCTGGTCCTCCACACTACACCTGACGACCATCCCTACACTGCTGGTCCTCCACACTACACCTGACGACCATCCCTACACTGCTGGTCCTCCACACTACACCTGACGACCATCCCTACACTGCCGGTCCTCCACACTACACCTGACGACCATCCCTACACTGCCGGTCCTCCACACTACACCTGACGACCATCCCTACACTGCTGGTCCTCCACACTACACCTGACGACCATCCCTACACTGCTGGTCCTCCACACTACACCTGACGACCATCCCTACACTGCCGGTCCTCCACACTACACCTGACGACCATCCCTACACTGCTGGTCCTCCACACTACACCTGACGACCATCCCTACACTGCCGGTCCTCCACACTACACCTGACGACCATCCCTACACTGCTGGTCCTCCACACTACACCTGACGAGACTAGACGCATGACACAATGCGCAGAACAGCTCCAATAAGAATTACGAAGATAATACCAACAAGAGACATTTATATAACCAAAAATGGCCAAGGCCTCAACTCCCGCCCGCCCTCTGAGCATAAGGAACATTACTAACAAACCTCTAAGTGTGTTCAAGAAGAAACGTGATAAACATCTCGACAGGGGAACCTTATGGAGCGTTATGCAACGTTGTGATTCCCTGTGTTTTGTAATCAACTTAGCACTCTCTCAAAGACTGATATGTGTGATGTTGGTGCTATTGTCTCCAGCGCCGTCTTAGGACCTGAGATGTTCTTAACGTGTGTGTTCCCAGTATCCTCCTCCTTCGTCCCGAGGAAAAAAACATTAGTATCGGCGGGCTTCCGGTGTTGATAAATAGGCAAGGAAAGAGTGAAGATAAGCAGAGAGAGTGTGAGAGAGAGAGAGATGTGGCACCGAGATTCAAGGTTGACATGAACTAAAGTATGAGAACAGCTCTTGCTTGCAGCTTCACCAGGCACATCAATGGTAATGAAGCCTAACACTAGTTATAAGAGAGGGAGAGAGCAACACCAGGAAGGTGAGCGGTGGTCAGCCCGGGCACTGACCCGTAGGTGACATAGGAAGGAAGCTTTAGGTCAGTGACTTAAACTTCCCGTTCAATGACAGAGTTGAGTAGTACTTCATACTGTCACCCTTGAACCCATCATATTGTCACCCTCGTCGACTGTCACCCTCACCCACCACTGTGAGTGACGCCGTCTACTAAGAGCAGTAAACTGTGGGGACAGACTAATGGAACTGGGTCCCGCGCCCCAGCAGGAGAGAAGCAGCAAAGGGATGTGACCATTAACACACAATACTGAGAAGATATGACAAGGTGGACAAGGACAGCTTCCTTTAAACACTGGGAGAAGAAGACAAGATGCATACCTGGCAGCTGGACGCAAATGAAGTGAAGACATTGAAGTAAATACTCGTAATCTGTACAGATGGTTAACGACTGGAATTTACAGTAAGAGGGCCGCGGAAATCACCTACATTCAACACTTGAATATTTGGGAAAATTAAGATAATATGATAAGTCGACTTTGATACTATCTGTTGGTTGGACGAGATCATCTGCTGGCTTTCTTAACCCGTCAGCTGCTGCGATCGTTCAGTCTAGCGTTTAAACGTATTACAAGCTTGGAAATGATCCTTCCTGATGGCGATGCTCGCAAGTGGCGGTGCTGTCGACCAGATCTGTCAGGGCTCAGGATGACCTCGTCGGAGGAGGACGGGGGATGGAGGAGGGGTGGGAGGCATACCTAAACTATTGGTGTTAACTGAGAATGTGAGCAGGTGCGGCCACTCGCCCTCAGCGGGAAGCACACACTCTCCACCCAGGAAGTAGAGCGCGTCTCTCTCCTGGAGGTCTAGGCAGGTCTTGAGAGTAGAGTAACTTCTTGACTAAAATCCTCATGGAAATGATCAAGAGATCACCTGGAAGTTTACTGTCTATTGCACTGACGACTTGACCGCATCACTGTCAAGTGGGGGGAGGGAAGACTTGCCAACATCACCATGGAAGTAGACGATGCGTCGACCATCTGCGTCAGTGGGGACTTACCCTCGTCCCTGTGGAGCAAGACGGTGCTTGACCTAACAACCTGAGAGTGAAGGAGATGGTAACTTACCTGAGTCGATGTCGAGGGGTTCGTCTCTGATGTCGTCTTCATGGTCGGAGGAGAGGGAGCGCAGGAGGCAGGGCGTCTCCTCCTCGTCTGACTCCACACTCTCACTCCGCTCAACCTGGCCACCTGTAGCCCTCTTCCTGTCGGGGGAGGAACCGGTCAGTATGTGTGTGTGTATTCACCGTGTTGTGCTTGCGGGGGTTGAGCTCTGCTCTTTCCGCCCGCCTCTCAACTCTCAATCAATCAACTCTTACTAACTATTAACAATTTTTTTTCACACACACACACCCAGGAAGCAGCTCGTAACAGCTGTCTAACTCCCAGATACGTATTTACTGCTAGGTAACAGGAGTACCAGGGTGAAAGAAACTCTGCCCATTTTGTTTCTGCTACCACCGGGGAAGGAACCCGGACCCTAGGATTACGAGCCCAGAGCGCTGTCCACTTAGCTATCAGGCCACTATGTGCGTGTGTAAGACAACACATTACATATAGCACCAGGTTATCACTACCATAAGATACCAAAGAGATAGCACAAGATACCAAACACAAACATGCTTGGACTGTGTGTTCTAAACAAAGGTGTTTTTATTTTTTTTTTGGGGGGGAGTAAAGAGGAAGGAGAGGCATAGGTGAAGGGAAGTATAGAAGTGGAAAATACAGCGAGAGGTATGAAAGCAGGCGGGCTGTCCGCCTTGCTGACACCATGTGTGGGTGTTGGCAGCTAAGCTAAGCTGGCTCCCTCCTGTCAGGGAGCTGTGAGTGTGTGAGAGGTTCTTCACATGTGTTTCATCGCATCTGGATGTCCATAGATGAATACTGTGTAGCATTCATATATACACACTCCGATGCTTCCACACATGTTGTTCTGTTTAAGGCTCTTTATTTTATTATTATTATTTGTCGAGTTGTTCATATATACACGTATAACGTTGAGGTATTACTAGTAACATTAATCACGAGCAGCATCCACCCTTCCTCCTGCCAAGGGGAAGGGGGAGGAAGGGGAAGGAGAAGGAGAAGGGGAGGGAGGACGGCGAGGAGGAGGTGGGCAAGGGGAAGGAGGAGGGCAATAGCCAGGGTGAAGGAAGGAAGGGACGGGAGAGAGAGGTGTTAAGTTCACCTAAGCTCACAACACCACACGATGAAGCCAGTAAGGCTCCAGTAACTCCTCACTACCCTCCAACACCTTCCCCCTCGCCTCAACTGCACCAGTCTGGAGTCGCCCAACTTTTAAAGTGGCACTCGAAGCCACCCTCACTCAAATGGCGCTCGAGGATTCATAGATATAAGTGGCACTCAAGCTTGCACTAGAAGCCGTGAGGAGGGAGGAAATGACCGGGTGGTGCCGGACCCGGGAAGCGGGGAGTAACGCCACGGCAGAACACCGACACCGGACTAGTGAGACCAGATGACCGGACCTGTTGGGTCCTCACTGATGGACAATGTACAAACAACAGACCTTCATCACAAACACGCTGGTTCAAAAGTCACTTGGCCCTAATACTCCTTTATTTCAATAGTTTTTTTACTAAAATTATTTTTATTTTATTGTAAAATATTTAAATTTTAGTATAAAATGTTAGTATAATTGATAAATTGAGTGACATAAAATCGTATTACTGTAAAGTAACTTTTGGCCACACAGCATATGTACTCACCTAGTTAGGGGTTCTACATATGTGTGTGTGTGTGTGTGTGTGTGAACATTATATATATATATATATATATATATATATATATATATATATATATATATATATATATATATATATATGCTGAAATTTCAGATAACCAAAAAGCCTGAATCGGAGCACTGGTTGCCCCCCATACAGGGGGGGGGCGGCTAAATGCTTGCTGCGTCCTCGGTTCCTGTCAGGAAGCAAAGGAGCTCCAAGAGATCGGGCTCCAAGGGAGCCGGTCGGCCGAGCGGACAGCACACTGGACTTGTGATCCTGTGGTCCTGGGTTCGATCCCAGGCGCCGGCGAGAAACAATGGGCAGAGTTTCTTTCACCCTATGCCCCTGTTACCTAGCAGTAAAATAGGTACCTGGGTGTTAGTCAGCTGTCACGGGCTGCTTCCTGGGGGTGGAGGCCTGGTCGAGGACCGGGCCGCGGGGACACTAAAAAGCCCCGAAATCATCTCAAGATAACCTCTCAAGATAACCTCAAGAGATCCACAACATTGTACCTTTCATTGTATTCACCAATGGAAGTATTATGTATATAATTTTAACATTTTGGCATTATCAGCACAACAGTTTCCAATATTGCAATAATAATAATTGTTCAGAGTAGTCATAAAGTATTGCCACCCATGTTGGGCACATACCCAACAGTAATTATTGGTAAAAATTGGGTTAGGTTAGCTCCAAGATCTGGCCTACAACCTTAGACAGACATTTCCATGTATAGATATACCAAAAGGGGTACCCATCTACACCTGGGTATCTTCCCCCTCCCCTGTCCTGTCTATTCCGTCCCCCCCCCCCCACTCTTCCCTCTTCCCTCAGATAATTTTTTATGAAGCAATAAACATGCAAACTAACGCTGTGGGAAACACAACCAACATTTCAGATTTGACTCCATGAAAATACCAGAGTTGGTCTCTATAAATGCTAATGTTTCTTTAAGCATTGTACTCGGGACGACCCCGACTGACCTATGACATCCCCATACCCCAAATGCTTCATGTGTGGAAGCTGGGCGAGGGTGGCACTAAGCGTCTGACCTCCAACCTTGGACAAAGAGACATTCTCTCATAGATATAAACAAAGTATACTATTAATGCCATAAGCCTATAAGCCTTGTCAACTGTTGACCAGGTGACTCTGCCTGAGAGGAGAGAGCCTCTCAGTGCTCAGCCAACCGTCCTACACACTGTGAGAGCCAGACCACACACTAAAAAGTGAAGGGACGACGATGTTTCGGTCCGTCCTGGACCATTCTCAAGTCGCTTGTGAAGTCATACTTCAGCCACGTTATTGCGACTCGTCGCCTCTATACACTGTGGCCAACATCTTATGCTACTGCTCAAATCAACTGATTCAATTCTTTATAAAAAAAAAAACTCCCTGTAGTTCACTGTTCAAGTTCCTACTTTTATTTCCTTTATAAAGTGTTTAATTCCTATGTATGCAAAGTATTAAATGATTTAATTGTTTATAATTATATAATTAAGGCCAACTTGGTGAAATGATCAACATTGAGAGTAATGTGAACATGTAGCAAGGAGGAGGTGTGGTTGGTAAGTAAGTAATTATCAATAGAAGGCACCAAACCGGGAAGGCTATGTAGCACCAAGGTGTAGTTGATAGTGTTAATGAGGTGTACCTGAAGACTCGGAAGGCGTGTGAGGGCGGGCTCCAGGGCTGCCGCCCGTGGAAGGCAGCAGTCCTCCTCACTCTGCCCTTCAGCTCCTCCATCAGCGACAGAGGGCGGGCGGAGGGTAGAGCCGGGGCCACGGAGATGACAGGAGTCGGCGGCAGTGACGCTTCCTCATCGTCGTCGTCGTCTTCGTCGTCAAGGTGTCGTCCCGAGAAGAGGGCGAGGAGGTCATCGGTGCTGCCACAGTCCCGAAGTCGTGGACGGTCGAGTTCGTCGTCAGTGTCGGGATACGACACACAATGGTCGGCATCGTCGTCGTCGTCGTCACTCTCACGTCCTCCAGGGTAAGACGTGGAGGCGGTGAGGTGTCCGGGGGCGTCACCACCGTCACAGTAGTGTCTGGAGGAGGTGTGAGGGCCAGGAGGGGCGCTCTCCGCGTCACCACCGGTGTTGTCACCTCCAGAAATATCCCCAACACTGTGGGAGGCTGCCTGCTCCTCCATCGTGTCCTGCCTTACTCCCTAACCTCGCAGCCTCCACCCTGCCGGCAAACGTCTCGCTTATCAACCACCCAGGGTTAAACAATAAGTAAACTATGACCAGCTCTATAGCGAGGCCTACGTATATGTTGGGAGGTCTAACTGCATATAAATCATTCCCGGTTTACACGCGGAAACTTTCACCGCACCCACCAGCCCTCACTACACCCAGCCCTCCCACCACCCAGCACCCACAACACCCACCACCTACCAGCCCTCACCACACCCACCACCCACCAGCCCTCACTACACCCACCAGCCCTCACTACACCCAGCCGTCCCACACCCAGCCGTCCCACACCCACCACCCACCAGCCCTCACTACACCCAACCCTCCCACACCCACCCCTATCTATTGGCAATATATACTGGCAACACCCTATTGACAATCAAACCCAAATGTTAGACTTCACAAGAGTGGATGGTTGCAGTAATAGAAGCGAATCCTACTTAATGAGGGGCATGGCGGTCCACCTCTACTATAATATAGCACTCTCCTTACAATCGCAGTTCACCATGGAAGGTTGCACGAGGCTAACTGAAACCGTCTAGAGACAGAGTGATGCTATCCACTACACACTTAAAATAGCAGAGATTGTGCCACTCCACAAACGTGGTTGTAAAGCAGATGCCAAAAAATTATAGAATGTCAGCAGTAACAACACACAAGTCTTTCAAAGAGTGCTAAGAAGCAAGATCAGGAAACACATGGAGCCACAGCGGCTACATGTCCCCGGACAACACGGGTTCAGAACAGGGCGCCCCTGTCCCTCACACTTGCTAGACCACTAACACACAGTCTTAGATGCCATGAACGACAGGTTATACGTAATGCGAAAGCTTACGACAAATGTGACCATGGTGTTATTGCACAGAAAATGCTCACAAAAATAATTAATGGTAAAGTATGGAGATGGCTCTTTAATTGCCCATCAAACAGAACCTAGAATGTAATAATCAACAAAATAAAGTTTGTTCCGTTCCAGCTCCTGCGCTATGAAAAAACAACTAAAATATCAAACGGAAACCACATAAAAAACACATTCAAACCACACTATTGAAAGGAAAAGGCAATATAAAATATTTGGGAGTAATTTTGTCAGAAGATCTTACTTTTAAAGAACGCAATAAAGTAGTTATCACAACTGGAAGAATCACAGGTTGGATAACAAGAACTTTTCAGACAGAAATGCCAGACCAATATCTTGAGATCTTGAGGTTATCTTGAGATGATTTCGGGGCTTTAGTGTCCCCGCGGCCCGGTCCTCGACCAG